CATGTTTAAATGACATAAATCTGAATTTAGATTCTCACTCCAGCAACTGCTAAACAAAGGATATATCCCACCCCTCAAAGCTACCAACACAGCAACTTTAATCCTCATAAAATGAGAAAATGATTAAGAACAGACACAAGCTACCAGTGAGCATGCAGGCTTCCTATTGTACACAGAATTTTTCTTTTCCCTTCTTTCTAATTGGCTCAAGACAAGAGATTCTGGTTATTTAAATCAGTGGTATTCTAGAAGTCATAGTGGGATCTCACATGGCTTCTCTTTTTCCAGATAAGCATGCCCAGACAGGGCAAGAACTTGCTCCTGTGTGAACTCTTGACTAGTTTATTGAATTTAGCTACCAAAGGTGAAGAATAGTAAAAAAAAAAAAAAAAAAAAAAAATCTTAGTTTAAATGTACCGTGTTTTGAAAAATATTACACTAGGAGAAATCTGTTATACATTTGGAAGGAGAGCTATTAATCACTTTGAAATAAGCACCCTTGAATTCTGAGTGTTATTTCAAAAGATATTGCATATTATATGATCTAAGCCATAACTAGAAAATAACAAAACATAAATATCTTAGAATTTTACAGTTCTTAAGGGCTGTTTTATGTGCCAGGAATAGAAATAATGATGCTATTTAATGACATAATTTTATAACCAAGGAAAGACAGGGCATTGCATACTAAGGTAAGTTACCTGTCACACACCTTCTCTGCTGTCATTCCCTAAGAGTCACAGGCACCCACACTCTTCTCAGAGTCCCAGCTGAAGGGAAGTCATCTGAGCAAAGCCGCTTCATCCCTCAAGGTCATTTTTTCTTTCCAGATGCTCAGACATGAGACTTGCTACCCTGGAATCAAAGCAGCTGTACTCTACTCCTCTACCCCTGAGCCCAGGGCCGTCCTGGGAGGAGAGCCCTGCTAGCATATCTGTTCTCCTAGATACACCCTTTTTCGAAGATCTTCCATGTATAATTTTTCATTACTCAATACTTTGTGGCAGCATCTTTATAAGAAAAGAGATGCCAAACTCATTAAATCAAGGCACATGACTAGATATAAGAATCAAGATGAAATTTCTTTGAACTCATTTTCAAGTTAATAGAGCTCTTATGAAATCATGTGCCCTCAAAAAAATCCAAAAAACAAAACAACAACAGCAACAACAACAAAAATCCAGCTGTTTTTGGAAGTTTCCTGAGTACAGATGGAAAAGAAAGGACTTTTCTCTGTGATTTCAAACATCCTGCAGTTATTTGGGCTATTTCATAGAAGCGCTCTTCTGAACAGCAGCTGAATCCCACCATGGCCGAAAGAAAGCATTGCGACAGATCTCTCAGTCTCCCTCCTGTGTTTTTGTGGCTTAATATCTTAGATGGAAAATTGCACTTTAGAGTTTTGTATAAAAAGTACTCTCAGATTTATTTGCTTTCAAACATCATGAAGCTGCAACAGAAACTGGCTTGGCACTTCCCAGAACTCTATACTCATGAAGTTCAACACTTAGGGGTTGAAGACTCTTTAAAAATACTTACGCAGATTAAATATATCTGAAATAACATTATATAGGTGAAACAATGAACTATAATTTTGTGCTTCAGTGATTTTTTATGTACTTGTTTTTTAAAGTTTTCATCAACATAGTACTCACATTCATTTTTTGAAAATAAAATCTACTAAGAGTGTTCTCTATATATTTTCCTTATTTCTGCATAATTGTGCTAATTTATTAGCTGGGGCAGTTATATTTTAAATGGCAGTGTATATATTTAGCAACATAATTGTGAAAGTTCTACCATGCTTATGATTATAAATATGTAAATATGCTTTAGGAGCAGTCACTTAGCATCTACTTCTGACATGATTTTTGGAAAATTCTTGTTGAAATGCTCAGAATTTACTCCTGAATTCACTTCTCTTCTCAAGGTGGGGCTCATAGTTCTTATTCACCAGGCAGAATATTACACGCTAGTAAAACGTGTGGGCTCTTTGATGGACCTGGACATTCTATGTCACTTAATGGCTTTGTGATCTTGGGCAAGTCACTTAACCTCTCTGAGCTCAGTGTCTGCATTTGTGAAATTGGGATGATGATAGCACATACCTCACTGGGTCACACTGATTATATCCCATGATGTATAGAAACAACTTAACATAGTGTTTGGCCCAATAAAAGGCTCTCAGTAATTCTTCTTCTTAAAATAGTAGTACTTACAAACGTGGTACCTAGCAGTACTACACGTTGGTCCAGTCATTAAATCTCTAAAAGAGTTTAGAACTGTAGTGGAAGAGGAAGTATGACTAGCTAGGTAACTATGGGGTGATAGGTAGCAGTGCTGGTAGCAAAGTTTCCAGACTCAAGTTCTTTTTACCAGAGAATCATTCTATATGCACTTTATCCATGTGCCTGGGTTGAGTCGATGAGGTTGTTTAGGCATTTCAATAATTGGAACTCTCAATGTCGAGGAGGATGTATATGTGTAGGGGTAAGGAGAAAGAATCTAGCCTGCTCATGGGTATACAAGCTCTCCAACCTGACCCTCTGGAGATAAGCTGATTAACAGGTGAGAAATCACCTAGGTGAGATGTGAGATAAAAGTCTTCCTCTGTTATTTCACATTTCAGGAAATGAAAAAAAATTGCAAAAATGTAAACTTATATTCATAATTATAATCATATGTCAGAATATGGTAGTGATAATGACAGTATATTTTAGGTGAACATTACTCTTTTCAGTCAATTTTCCTAATACTTGTTATTCTAGAAATAAGATAATTTAGAGTTTCTAAAAAGGGTTTCTAACAGAAATCCACAGAACTTTTCTGAGCTTTGGTGAAACAGAAACCTAAAGAGGAAGCAGAGGCCCTGAAGGAATACTGATGCTACTTAAGGCTAAAACTCTTCAAGACTTCGATCCAATACAGAGAAGACTCCACATATCAGCAGAGGGCTCCTTATTTTGTTCCCTCCCATAACCAAATCCTATAAAAAAATGGGTTCAGTGATGCTCATTAAGTTATATACATGTGGTAACTGCATGCATTGACACTGAGCTAGGCGCTGGGGAAGAAGTCAAACACCATCATTGACCAAAATGTGCCTACAGCCCAGCAGCATGGAAATAGCTTAATATGATCCACAGTGGAACCAAGCTCTCAGTGCTCTTCAACCTACGAGGTGAGCCAGCATGGGGGTGTGTGGTGATGGTGAGGAGGATGAATTCTGGCCTTCACGTTATATCCTGGAAATAAGTAATTTTGATTGTTTCTTGTACTAAATTCTTAGGACTCTTAAGACCTATTCTCTAAGTGACCCATTTTTCCTGACCAGTCCCTTACAGCCCACTGCAGAGGATGCGTAGCCCTTTCTTTGAAGCACAGGGCAGAAGCTTCTGAGACTCAGGCACATCTTGGTAGATTTCCCCCAGCTGTGACATTGGTCTGTTCCCATAAGCCTCAGTATTCACCCCACACCCTCGGTTGTCCATGGTCACAAGAAGTATCCCTTTCTTGGATTCTTAATATTTCACTTCCTAAAGCCTTTGGAAAAGAGGGAATAAATAGTTTTCCAATCCTGAATTTTTCTTAGTCCTACATAATTAAGCCAGTCACCATTGCTTTTTTTTTTTCCCAGTTGTGAGAGAGGATTAAAACTGTTAGTGTGTTAATGATGCCCAAACTTTCACATTCATTCTCTTTCCATCCTGCAGGAATCTGTCTGCTGTGACTGAACAGATAAGGAGAGGCAGCCTTCGAGTGATACAATTATGCTAATTAGGACAGGGCTTTCTGATTTGGGTGTGAAAAAGTAAGATAGACAATTCATATTCCATTCACAATTTTGGCATTCTTTTTATAAGGTTATGTAATAGCAGTAAGTGATATTGCCATTTTTAGTGAAGAGCAAGTAAGACCCATTCTTATAAGGTACTGAATAATTAAATATCTAGATCTTATTTTCATATTTATGAATTTATATATGACCACTGGTAAAAGGCTCAACCTTTTTTGGACTCAATTTTTTTGACTAGTTTTATTGTGATTATAATTATTATGTTGGTTTTCTTTAACCAATTCAGGCAAGTGAAATTCCCTCTGTAAAAATTAGCTTTTCTATTACTATATGAACTTTGGAGAGTTTTTAAGATGTAGTAGGAGGGTTCTGGACTGGCAAATTATAACAATATATATATTAAAAAAGAAATTAAGCCCTGGCTGGTGTGGGTCAGTGGACTGAGTGGTGGCCTATGAACCAAAGGGTCGCTGGTTCGATTCCCAGTGAGGGCACATGCCTGGGTTGTGGGCCAGGTCCCCAGTAGGGAGCATGTGAGAGGCAACCACACACTGATATTTCTCTCCCTTTCTCCCCACTTCCTTTCCTCTCTAAAAACAAATAAAGAAAATCTTAAAAAACAAAAAAAGAAATTAAAATGCCTAGAGTACATCATTCACTACATAATTTTGCTGATCTCAGTATTTACTCTGGAATGAGTATTAAATCCAAACCATTCTATTTTTATACAAATTCATGATTTATCACCCTAGATGACAGTCAGTAACACATTCTTTCCATTTCCCAAAACCAGATGAGAAAAAAATTTTACCACAAGGAAAAACACAAATCGGCCTTTCAAACAGCTATACCTTGAACCACTCACTCCTTGTCTTCTGTGGCAGATCAATTATTATAAGCTCTTGATTTATTTTTCTGAATGGTTTCTGCTAATCACAATTTCCTTCCAAATTATTCAGGTGTAGGTAATGGTGACGCTGTTTGACCCTCACTCAGGAGGCTCGTACTGACCACTCTCAGTGTGTCTGCCCTCACAGCCAGGGGCTGCCTCACTTGACCCAAGCTGTGCCCTCAGCAGCATCCACAAGGCACACTGCACAAGGCTGGGGCCCAGCTGATGTCTGTTCTCTTGGTTTGACCTCTGAAGAGCAGTGCTCAGCAACACCCAGACACATACCACCCTCGGCCACCCTCACCCCCTTACCTGGTCTCTCTGTCTTTGGGTATCGTAGCAGTGCTGTAAGCAAACATTTGCTTCTCCACTAGAGGAGGGCCAAGGTCCACAATTCCGGATAGTCCTGGAGTCCGTGGCTTTTCAATATACACCAAGGTGCCTGCCTCCTTTTTGTAGGCCTGGCGGCTGGGCGAGACCCGGTCTGGCTGCATGGTGTGAGGGGGCCCGTGGGCGTTATGATGAGCGTGCATGTCCATTCTCATGTCACTGACCCGGTGAGGAGAGGCAGGGGGTGTTTTGGGGCCCAGCGTAGGCAAGTGGCTATCTGGATACTTCCTAGATTTCTGCCTGTACAATGACTGCTCCATATGCATTTCTGCTTGCAAAGAAGGGTTGCAGTAAGCACTCGCTGACCGGATTGCTGTGCGGTGATATGCAATGATGTGATCAGGGACATCCAGTGGGTGCCCGCCATGGGAAGAGGCTATGCTCATCCGTCCCTCGTGATACAAGTAAGGATCAGCATAGAAACCCTCATTTCGGTACATCGCAATGTTCTTGCCACTCATGTCTTCATCTGGCTTTACATCTCTTCTTTCCAAAATGGCGCTTGGGCTAGGTGAGATGGATCTGGAGACTGGCAGACTGGAGAGTCTGTCCCTGGGGATGGTAGCATTGCCAGGAACAAGCATGGGGCGGGTGCCCCCATAAGGAATTCTGGATGGGGAGGGCGGCATGGAATGGGGGACAGGAGTGGAAGGCGGAGAATTTGGAATGGCGTGGGGTAGATGAGCTGTGGATCCAGGTCGAGAGGCACCAGGGCCATCTCCTCTTGCATAAACAATTTCTCTCTGCATCTGAAAATAAGAAATTAGAAAATCTCCTTTGATATTCACGTTTTTACAGAAGACTCCATGTGACAGTGTGGCTTCCCTGATGCAGTAGGCTGAATAATGGCCTTTGTAAGATGTCCATACCCTAATCCCTGGATCCTGTAATTATGTTCCCTTACACGGCATAGGGACTTTGCAGATGGCCCCCTTTAAAAATGTTGAGGTGGGGAGATTATCCTGGATTATCCTGATGGGCTTATTGCAATTATAAGGGTCCTTACATCTGACAGGGAAGCAGAGGGACATGTGATGACAGATACAGGGTCAGAGAAACACTAGAAGATACTACACCACTGACTTTGAAGATGGAGGAGGGGCTGTGTGCCAAAGAATGCAGGCAGCGTCTGGAAGCTGGAAAGGGCAAGGGAACGGATTCTCCCCTGGAGCCTCCAGAAGAAGCGTGGCACTGTCAACACATTGATATTGGCCTGTGAAGCCCATTCTGGACTTCTGATCTCCACAACTGTAAGATAATGCATTTGTGGTGTTTTAAGCCACTAGATTTGTGGTGATTTGTTACTGTAGCCACAAGAACCAAATGCACCTGATATAGAACTTGATGTTGTGGAAAAAAAATAGTGCAGTGGTTTCAATTTTGAGGTCACAGCTTCTTAGAGACAATAAATGTGTATCAAAAGTGCTAAAATTATGTTTTTGAAAACTTGTTCTGGGCATATTTTCTAGTATTGACCCTGGAAAATAGTTAGTAAGTATCTTTCCCATCTTTCCAAGTTGGTACAATCTAGGGACATGGCCGGAGAGGAAAAGACATGCATGGGGAAGACCTGAAGGGAAGTTTCACTGATTCGCCATCTCCTTACTTGAACTGAGCCTATGAGAAACCAGGCTCTGAGAGGCTGGGAGAAAATACCGGGAGGAAATACCAGGAGGTAAGAGTGCAACAGGAGGCAAGGGAATGAAGAGGGAAGGGAATCTCAGGAATGGAGGGGAGAAAGAATTCCAACAGTACATTCTGTGGGGCGGCCATGTGATGACAAGAAGCCTGCTTGGGTTGGCCATCGTAAGCCCAGTACTTCTTGCTCAGGCAGCAGTGACTTCTGGGCTGTGTCATTACCATCAGTTTAGGAGAGTGGGGACTCCCACAGGGTCTTCCATTAGCTCTCCTTTAGAAGAAACAATGACTAAAATCAATGACTCAAGAATCATAATTACAGACATCAAATTGGTGGTTGCCACAGGCAGGAGGTGAGGGGTGGATGAAGGTGGTCAAAAGATATAAACAGGTGGTTGAAAGATATAAACTTGCAGTTATAATAACAAATTAAATAATAATTAAGTCATGGTGGTGTAATGTACAGCATGGTGACTGTAGTTAATAATACTATATTGTATATTTGCAAGTTGCTAAGGAGTGATTTTAAAAGTTCTTAATACAAGAAAGATTGTAGCTATATGAGGTAATGGATGTTAACTAGACTTACTGTGGTAATCCTTTCTCAATATTCACATAGGTAGAATCACTATGTCCATGTGAAACTAGTACAATGTTATATGTCAATTATGTTTCAGTAAAAAGGGAATAGTTAGTGAGGAAAGGAAAAACTGATTTGCAATTACACTGCTATTTAGAAGGGGCAGAATAAAAAAAAACACAAATTAATTCAGGATATGAATGTTTGATACTTTTGTTTTGGTCAAAGTCCAGGAGGGTGATGCTCACTGAGATTTTCCAAATGGATATAAGGGAAGGGACTAACAGCCTTGGCTCCTACCGAGACCACCCATTAAGTTTATCTGTGCTGCCACAGGAGCCCACATTCCCCTCCAGTCCCCTGGGAGATGTGACAGACAAGGAGGGCTCAAATGGATGAGAACAAAGATGAGCAGCTGAGAGACCCATAGTGTGGGTGATGGGAAAGAAGAAAATGCAGAGGCAACCAAAGAAGGTTGGACATGAAGCAGGGCTGAATGCCCTGAATACATACTGATTTCTTATCTTACAAATCCATTCGGTTGGTAAACAGTATTTACCAAGCACTTGCTGAGAACCAGGCGTTACTCTAGCATACAGCTCTAATGAGCCCCCAGTTCTCACCCTTAAGAGGGTGCTCTTGCATACATCTCTTAGATGAGAATGCTGGGAAGAATGGTGGGACTCCCACACTTCCTTGTTTTGTCTCTAGAAAAGATCCAGGAGTGCAGAAGCCCTGACCCAGGAGTTTTACACAAAATGGAGGATTTCATAATAGGAATGACCAATAAAAAATGCAATCAAGATGCAAATATGTACATAACAACTACAAGGAACCCTTCCAGGCTGCCTTATCTGAGCACCATTGGATGGGCTCCTTAGCCCTATTGGTGTTGGTGGGGAGCCACTGTTTCTGGGAACCCCAAAGTACACAGGCTCCTCACTTGCAATTACAACTTTATTTCCACTCCCTCTACCTCCCAACACACACACAGTCCTCTCACCACAGGCTAATCGGTTGCCCCTCTAAACTGCATGTGGGGATACCCTCAAGCTGTCCTCATCCTGGGGACTCTCTCCCAGTTTTCCAGCCCTCGTGGATCCAAACAGAGGCTGAGAGTAAGGCTTGGGCTCCAGGTGTATCTGTTCCAAAGGCCAACCCAGTCCTCTCTCAGCTCACTCACTTGACACGTCATGACTCAGTTTCTCAAGGGCACTCCCAAAGTGTGATGTTATCACTCTGTGATAATGCTCCCAACTCGTGTTCCAGAATAGTTGGAGCAGCCATGTGACAGAAATTTTGCAGCAGAGCAACATGGATCGTTTGTAAATACCTTTCCTACTCTATCTGCCACAAGGCAGGCCGGCAGGGCTCAATAAAAAGAAATAACTACCAACTTAAAGTCTAAAGACTTCTGGGCTGAGTCTGATGACAGTAGCTCAGAAACTGAAGCTGCTTTACATCCTAGAAACAATAACACATCTACTGGTGATTTTGATGACTAATAAGCTACAACAGCTGTTGATATAAAGTCTTTAAACAAACTGGAAAAAAGAAGGTCTGGCTCAATGGTGAGCAGAGCAGGCCTTCCCAGATCATCAAATACAAGGGAGACTGGCTCAGCCAGCAGGGCGTTTCCGGCCAAATTCCCCATGCAATCAGACCATACAACACAGTAACGAACCCAAACAAATGTAAGGATAAGTCTGTCACATCAATTCAAACATGCCATGGGGTGTAAAGTGTAACAGAGTGTTCAAGGTGCATTAGGTGCAGCAAATGGTAGTTACTATTACCATTATTCTTAATTCCAAAAATTAAAGGGGATTTCAACTGTCCAGAATCAATTTAAAATGAATAATCTGAACTGGGTTAGTCACTACTCCCTCCCTGTTCCTTTCCCTCCTGATCTGGCTTCAGATTATATCTTGATTTGGGAGATCCTGACTCCAATTAATAAACATCAAATATACACCCCCCCATTTTTTGGTAAGAGAGTAAAAAGAGACATGGAGACTCTGAGGAGTATAGAATTATCTAGAAGGAAAAAGAATATTAATAAAAGAAAAATATAAACTTAATTTTATTTCATGAAAAGTTGAATAAATTTAAAACAAAAGGATGCTTGCATAGGTGTTTTATTTTGTTTTTTTTTTTCTGTATAGGTTTTTTTTTAAGATTTTATTTACTTATTTTTAGAGAGGGAAGGGGGGGAGAAAAAAAGAGAAAGAAACATCAGTGTGCGGTTGCTGGGGGTCATGGCCTGCAACCCAGGCATGTACCCTGGCTGGGATTCGAACCTGCGACACTTTGGTTCACAGCCCGTGCTCAATTTACTGAGCTACGCCAGCCAGGGCCTATATTTTAAAAACATGTTTGGTGAAGTGAAAAATATGGTTAGGAGGTATATTATATAACTAACTTTTAAAATAATACAAACAAAAAATCATTAGACTTTCTTGATGTCATGTGTGGATGAGTTCAGAAAGAGATGTAACAATTAACAGTGATTCTAATATGCAGTGCATTTGTATTGGAAGTGTGGGTGATTAGTCAAATTATTTAACATTCAGTAGCCAGAATCACATGGGTACCAACTAACCAGAATGGGAACTCAGCCAATGAGGATGGATCCTAGCCACAATCAGTAACATGTACCTGATGGTAATGCTGTTTATCACCCTGCCTTGTCCACTTCAAAATAATCTTGCCATCATCCAACAGGGCCACTGGAAGAATCACTGTTCACCTGCGTTAACCACAGCTCAGGTGAATACAAGCATTTAGCTATGGCAGAACAGGTAGGTAATCTAAAGTTGAATGTCTCCATCAGCACAAGTGACTTAGAGGTTGGAAGCCTTTGGCAGAATTCTTACATTGGTTTGCCAAGTTATGACTGACTTTCCAAGACTGAGGTCTAAAAAGAACCCTGATAATTTCATCCTTGGCTCTACAGAGAGCCCAGGGAGAGAATGACATTATGTTCCCATTATGTAGTGGGAAATGTTTTAAACTTACAACTAGAATGAACCCTTAAGATTGGATAACTAAAGGATACGGATCCACCAAAGGTAACTCACTCTCATGGTGAGGCTGAAGGTATGGATAGGGAGATGAGAAGAGAGAATCCTTTTGAAGTCTTCAGTGCGATCTCCCATGAAGACTATTGTTCTAAGAAAAAGTGGATTTCATATATTCCAGGAAATACTCATGGTCTGATTCTATAATTCAGTAGCCCCCAACTTTTTGGCACCAGGGACCAGTCTTTCCATGGGGGAGGGGGAGGGAGAGGACAGAAGGCAGAGCTCAGGTGGGGCGGGGCAGGGGTGAGTGTGTCAGGAGGCAGAGCTCAACCAGCTTCCCTCCAGGCAGGGTCCTAACAGGCCAGGGACAGGATCGGGTCCTCGGCCAGGGGTTGGGGACCCCTGCTACAATTCACAGTTTTAAAAACCCCCAGCCTTTTATGTTAGTGTTCTTTCAATGGAGGTGTCTTCCTAGAATCAGGCACCCTGACAGTTTCCTTTTGTTTTT